TGACTCGATTATCTCTATCTATGCAATTCCTCTCTCTGCTTTATTTGCTCGGCTTATATACTGAAAAAGAGGGCGTCTGGAACAGACTAGAGTTGCCAGGACAATTCACGATCCTTCCAGAATATCATCTGATGTTACCAGCACCAGGTGACTTCCACTGTCGTAACAATATGTTTGAAAGAGATAAGGAGAATAATTTGTTTTGTAAAAAAGGTGTTTTAAACGAATTGAACCCACCTGTGTAGACTTTGCCAAAAAGCAGACGATTATTGGTAATTGTTACCTATTCGAATTTCAAATGGTCTGAAATTGAGTTACCTGATAATTTAAATTTAGTAGTTAAATTGTAATTTGTATTTAGTATTTAAATAAATGCCGATATGTAGTCAGTTTGTAATATTTGCCAACAAGATTGATACACAGTTTTTTTTAACACTTATACGTTTTAATATACACACAACAGTACACTTTACAATAACAATTATTACAAATAGTTATTACAAACAATGCTTTATTAACAAAAGTTTCACAAACTTACAAGCAATATGAAGCCTTCTTTCTAGTTTGGAATTTCCTTGATATCTTATCGAGGGTTCACTATGAGCTAGCCCTGTAGTTCTTGTTGATCAAACGCCGATTACAGGTCGAGTTTCACCGTTGACGTTAGGTAATGTTTTCTTAAAATACTAATGTCCTATGAGAATTCACTGAAGTTAAACGATTTGTAATGTTCGAACTTTGTAAAGGATCTTGGTCAAATATCTGAAGTTTTCCGATTGGTAAGTGTTATAACAATCACAGTTATAGCTTCTGAAGTTTTAGAGCACACTGACTATAGCAAACTAATAATAGATACTCTCTTTGATGCATCGGAGTAGGTAGCTGAGTGGATGTGCTCTAGAAACTTTAGTTTTACATAACAATACTGAACTACATTTAAGCATTTAAAGTAGACATATATTGTTGATTCTTACTCTAGAGAATCTTCTACAACTTTAGAGAATAGGCGGAAGTTTTGCAATACATATTTAACAGTACAAGCCACGCATGCTCCAAAATATAAACATAATCCAAACAAACGTTGATATCAAAAATAAGTATATAATAACAAATTCGTTACATAATACGAAAAACAGACGGTTATTTGGAAGTACGAAAAGCAGACGATTATTGGAAGTTCAGGACAAAACTGCGGTAACTCACGCAACAGCGTAAGTGAAGTATACATGAATGCTATTGCGATAAAAATAGAGAAAAATAGTTCAGCTTGTCAACTGAATTCTAAAGCAACTGAACTGACCTAAGTGGACTTTTGACAACAAGAAGAGAACTCTATAGTGTTTAAGATATAACTATGATATGTGTAAATTAATTTTGTACATACTGTTAACTGGTTTGTAATATATATATATATATATTATTTTAAAAACAAGTGGAGTGTGTGCTATTTGTTTAGGCCCGGCATGGCCAGGTGGTTAAGGCACTCGACTCGCAATCTGTGGGTCACGAGTTTGAATCCCCGTCCCACCAAACATGCTCGCCCTTTCAGCCGTGGGGGCGTTATAATGTGATGGTCAATCCCACTATTCGTTGGTAAAAGAGTAGCCCAAGAGTTGGCGGTGGGTGGTGATGACTAGCCTCTAGTCTTACACTGCTAAATTAGGGACGGCTAGCGCAGATAGCCCTCGTGTAGCTTTGCGCGAAATTTAAAAACAAACAAGCTATTTGTTTATTGTTCAATTTATCAGCAACAGATCACAGGCACCTACCATTAGGAACGTCGAGAACCAGCACGGGCTCGGGGCAAACATCCTTGCCGGGCCCCCTTTCTCTCTCTCTCTTTTAACATTTTCAAGAATTTATTAAAAATAAGATCCTAAATTAGGACAGCAATGAGCTCATAAACCAGAGAAAATCATAGCAGCAGTCGTTTTTACCTCACAGTATAAGCGTAAAAACGTTAATAAAGTAACAACAAATTTCTGTTTAATCTATAAAGTAACAAATACACATTAATTATTACTCAAATTATTATTTCAGTCGTTCTTAACGTATCAAGCGTCTATATGCAAAGAAAACTATGGTTTTTATCATTAAATGAATATAGCCTAAAGATGCTTTGCGGGCTTTAAGGCATAACCAGATTTCATTCGCCCAGGCACCTGGACAGTTGCCCCCACCCCTGTCGGCTCGCCTATCTACTGTAGAAGAATCTTTAGCCCAACACAGCCATATACTTACATCAATATATAATAACGCCATTGATCAGACCAGACTTGTCTTAAACCTACAAGTTAATCCAAATTTCATCTTTCACCTGTTAAGCAAAGTGGTGTATTTAATAAACTTCTACCTTGACACTCAGTGATAGCATCAAAAGTGAATGTGCACAGAACTTGTATCTGTAGAAAGTATATGTTTTGATGGCGTCTCTGTATAGCCAGATTGGCCAGCAGGCGACAATAGAATGTCGTGTATGATTATTTCAACTTATATGAGTACTTAATATTGTCAGCATTTGAAATCAATAGCTGTCAAACTGTTATGCCGACTTGTGTTGATGAAATGCCTCCCAAACAAGACTCACATATATACTTTGGAGCTAGATGTAAACATCCATGCTAGTTCGATGTCGCCACCATTTCCACGGCGATGTCGCCCATTGTAACTTAATATATTATAGAAAAAAGAAGGTTTTACTTAGTTGTGGAATGTAACACCCTCCGCCATCGACTTTTGATTACGGTATGTATAACTGTTAATGGCATAGACTGTGTTTCCTTCGTTCTTTTGAATCGAGACTTAGACCGACGACCATCACTCTCAGCTAGTCTGAACTTCAACACATAGCAATGGCAATCGCATGCGCACATGCTCCTCAATGATAAGGAGTACTGACTGACCAGTCTAGTGTTATTTATATGATCCGCTATGTCCTCCGCGGAGAATCGAACCCTGTATTTTAGCGTTGTAAGTCTATAGACTTATCGCAGTCCTACCTGGGGACAGTTGTGAATAATGATTGATTTTACATTTTTCATCATCAATTGCACAGGCCTGCGATTGTTTTATTGTCTTGAAATGTTTACATGTTCGACAGTAATTCTTTTATGCTGAATCCGAAAATGACATCCATTTTTTTCCCATCACGTATAGACTTTTCACAAAACTTCATAACGCAATACTTAAAAGAAAGGCCATAACAGGTAGTTTGAGACTAAAAGACGTAGATTTTACAAAAAAAAAAGAAAAAATCAGGATGAATGAGGATGCATATTCGTTTGACATCAATGTTCTTCCCTTTTCTTCAGTTTGTTTGTAT